TTTGCGTCTTTTGAGACATGTAAGATAATATGTTTTTGCATCTTCTTGAAATGTGCAAGCTAGTAAATTTTGCTTCTTTTTTTAAACGAGTAAGCTAGTAAGTTTGCTTTTCTTTGTGATATGCAAGCTAACAAGTTTTTCTCCTTGAAATATACAAGCTAGCAAGTTTTCTTCTTTTTGAAATATGTAAGCTAGCAATACTTTCTCTCCTTTGTTATTGTAAAAAAGAAGGGAAGAATATAATATTATAATTCTTTTCTCTTTACATCAATTTTCAAATCATGATAAAGATAAATTTATATCAATATTTCAATCATAAAAAAAAAATGAAATATCAAGTCATGAATACCAAAAGATCATGTATCATTTTTTACAAATACCTTCTTTTGTAAATAAAAGAAATGATAGGAAACAATTTTGATTCAAAAAGAAAACTCAAAGTCATAAAAATCTAGAAATCAAGATCATGATCCGAAAAATATATAAGAAGAGTTTATGCATTGAGAATTAATAATTTGGGAGATTTAACAATCAAGAAATCTTCTTTTGGGAGATTTAATAATTTACCTAAATTTAAAATTTAAGCTAGTACTTTTGGTTATCTTGAGATGCTAGCAATTTTTTTTCTCCCCTCTGTCATTGTAAACAAGAAAGAAGAAGAGGGGAGGTACAAAAATTTACATTAATGATCATCACATGAAAGATATCAAAGATCATGAAAGATCAATGCAAAATATCATCGGTCTTTTGTATTATAAAGAACAACTTCAAAACATAAGAGATCAATTTGATAATCAATACAAAGGAGTCATAATGAATCTCAAGTTGAGAAATTAAGATTATAATTTGTATAAATCTCCTCTTAAATAAAAACATCATAGAGAATTTCAAGAATATCGAGAAATCGAGAGAATGATCATAATTAAAAGAAATCTCCTTTAGTGAATAGCAATAGGAAGAATCATAATAAACTATCTTGATTCAAATGAAAAACATAAGTCATTAAAGGCCGAGAAATCAAGATAAAAATCATGATTCATTTAGATAAATACTCTTTAATAAAATGCAAGAGTTGAGAATAAAGAGTAGGGGATCTTAATTCATATAAAGAAAATCTCAAGTTATAATTATGAGAATTCAAGATCATGATATAGGTAAAACTTATTCAAATTCAAATCACTTTCAAGAGATTCAAAATGATATAAATAGATTTATTAATCTCTTATTGAAAACTTAATAATATTTTAGAGATAGAGACATTTTCTAAAATAATGCATTCCTTTTTTATATATATTTTAATTTATGTGATTTATTTCATACAAATATACCTTTGTCTTTTATGCCAAACAAAAACATGCATCATCGTTTAAAATCAAAAAACAAGATTTATCATAAGAGTCATCAAGATCAATAAACCGTAAATCATAAAAATCATCATTACATCAAATCATCATGCATCATTAAATCATCAAGCATGATTTTATTAAAAATACATTATTTTTAATCAAAATTATTTTGTTTGTTATAGTAATGCATTTTTCTTCTTAAGTGAATCTAACTTTTTATACTTAGTGCTAGGAGTTAACATGCAATTGTCATGCTCAATTTTTTTTTTCAATTACTAGAAAGAGAAGCATGATCCTATTTTTTATATTTTATATACTAATTTAAAAATAACTCATGAAATACATCAAGTAATTTCATAATAAAGTAAAGGAGTTTTGGTTGAATCACTTATCTCGTTGTCAAAAGCCACCAAGGCATAGTTCGCTACCTCAACTTTGTTGGTTTGCTCTTCATCTTCTGATGTACTCCAATCATCACATGTCACCTTAAATATTTTCTTCTTCTTTGGTAGCTTCTTCTTTTTAAGTTTATTTTTATTTTTTGATTCTTGTTTTATGAACATTTTAAATTTACTTGTGAGGGGTTTAAAGTCATTATCACTTGAGCTTTCGCTCGAGTGGTCTTCTTTTATTTTAAGTGTCAAATCCTTCCTATTCTTTGAAAGGTTATTCTCAAGATATGTCATACAAGTCATTTCATATGTCATTAATGAACCGATGAATTTTTCCAATAGAAAATTATTTAAGTCCATTGCCTCTTGTATTCCAGTTACTTTTAAATCCTAATTTTTAGAAAGAGATCTCAAAACTTTATTAATAAGTTCAAGATTCAAAAAATATTTGCTAAGAGCTTTTAAATTGTTGACTGTT